TCCCAGTATGATTTTTTTTTCATAGTTTACTTTCTACTGTGCTTTTTAACATCTCTCCTGTTTTCCTTGATTGTGGAGATACCTCTTCCGAAGAAAGTATTGTCCACGGAGTGGATATTGAGTGATATTAACCTGCTGGCTGGCAAATAGCTGGTTCTTGAATCTTTCCCTCTATTTTTGTTTCATGCCAGATGTGTTTGGCATGTAAAACCTAGTATTGCCTTTTATAAACTCTGTTCAGGAGACCTCTGTCCAAATCATCCAGAAGAAACATTCTGGAGACCTTGACAAATTACAAATAATTATTCCAGAATCTTTTTACATTTGTTCAGAATGTTCATAAGCCATTAATTCCTCAAGAGGTACCCTGGAACAAAATCAACTTTGCAAGTAATAATGAAAACCAAGTAAATATCTGAGCCATAGCTGAATAAAATTTACCCTAAGAAGTGCTTATTTTCCTAACAAAATGATCCTTGTTTGTAAAGGTGCAGCTTGGATTCAGTTACCACAGTCCTCCCATAATCCCTATTATAATGAACTAATCCTTGTTAATTTTTTTCTTTATTAACTAAAAAAATAAACTTACAGATTTTCTCTGTGATGTGTGTTTTTTCCAGCAAGACAGAAGGTCATGGCATGACCATGTTATATTTTCACCTGAAATCAACTGAAGCTGTGCTGCCTTTAAACTTGTTAGGGATTTGGTCCACTATGTTTTAATAATAGTAGAAGTTCTTCGGAGAGAATTCCTTAGAAAGAAAACCTTACTCTGGGTTTCCTTTGTATGTGTAATAAATACTGGGATTGATGACGTCTACCTACCGTGGCTTCATACTCTTGTCTTCTCTTTTCATTCCGCTCTGTATCATAAATTGAAACCGTCAATTTGATGTCTGCTTCTTCATCCTCACGGATCTTCAAAATTTCTAGCACCTTCCAAAAAACAAAAAACAGAAAAAAGACATCTTAGCTTTCCCACAAAATGACAACACTTTTACATGCTTGACCTGCTATCAGGACAGGTGCTATGTACAAGAACTATAGCGTAAGACCAAGTAAATTTTAGGTAAACATCTATGTGAATACGTTCATATCCTGCTGATAGGTCAATCTGATAATGGTCTTAATTTTAAAAGAGCGCTACACTATATGACATTTTGAATACGGTTATTGATATTATTCATTAATAATGCTCTTCTGGAGTCAGAATTTTGCCACTGGTTTTGAAATTGCACTGTTAGCTTTGGCTTATTTGCCTTAACAGGTTATACAGCAGAAGCAATGTGAACCTTCAGTCTGTTAATACATCAGGACTGAGAAATTGGGTGAGGTAGTTTGTGGAGTCACAGTTTATACCCTCCAAATCTCTGAAGAATGGACGTTTGCAACCTAGTTCTTAAATGTTAATAATATTCTGGGGTAACATTGTTGTGCATTCCCTCTCCAGCTCCTTCAGGAGTTCCTCTTCCTCAAAAAATCTTTTTTTTAATCTTCAAATCCAATAGCTTTGCCCCCATCTGCAAGATTGAACGCATTCATTGTAAAGTGACTACAAAGCGTGCTGAAAATACGGATTTGTTACACAGATCCCTGTGTGATTAGCAGTACAAGCAATCTATTTTATAACTTATTTCCCTATAGTTGCTCCTACAAAAAAATCACTTCAACATTATGGCTATTCTACCTAGAAGTGCCTAACAACTAGATTTATATTAGATACAACTTCTTTGGCCATCATTTCTCTTTAGTCTTATCCATAGTCAAAAGGCAGATGCTGCAATTCATATGCTGTTAATTGCTCTCTGAAACTGTCTCCCTACCTGAGAATGATGAGTAAGAGCAGGATTTGGAAAGTGACTCCCCATAAAGATATTAAAGATACATCTTCACTGGACAATGACTTTGGTTGCAAGCTTTGTAATTCAGCACGGAGGGCAGTTTTGTGACACTGGAATTTTATTTTTATCACAGTTTATTCTGGGAATGCTTTGAAGACCACTGAGCTGAAACTGTTTCCACACCTGACTGAGTTTGACAGCAGTGTGGAGAACTCCCTCTTACCTCTGTTGCAGATTCCCAGACTTCGTGTTTCAGCTGCTTCTCTTCCTCTATTAACTTCTGCAACAATTTGTACAGATGGAGCAGCTTCTTGTCCGTCTCAGAGGATCCCACCTGGAAGGAGATAGGCTAGCGAAAGACTCTTTGGATGCATGGGACCAGGTACTCCACTAATATAAATTAGCATCATTCTGCTACAGTCAGTACAGTGACACTGATTTACACCACTGAAACATCTAACCCATGGTCAGTAGTTCATTGGACTTCATCTGGAATTTGAATCCACCAGTAATGTGAACCAGATTGCATGTCGCACTTCTTTGCTGATGCTGCTGTTATTTGGTTTGAACTAGTTTTACAGGGTTAGAGACGAAAGGACAGCACTCTAGCATTTGCATTCTGTGTGTTCTCCCCAATGAGAAATATGAACATTAAAAACAACTTACATAATATATAAATCCAGTACAATATAAATAATATAAATCTTATGCTTGCAATCTCTCCTTGATTTTCCTAAGCATAACTGTGCAGCATCACTGCAGAGCTTAGGTAGGCTTCTGTTCCTCATTACAGACTTATATCAATGATGATAGTGGATTGCCCCCCCCCCCCACATGACAGTACCCCACTTGCTTGGAATATCTTTTGGTTAAGGCTTTCTATTTAGCAGCAATGCATTAAGCCTCAGGATCTTCTCTGTGTCTACTGGGTAAATTGTGAGATATTTAAGCAAGAACATGACACCAGAAGTCCACAGCAGAACTGGAATTAGAATCCAGGATACCTGCTTCTGCTTCTCTGCAGCAATCTCTTGTTTGAGAGAGAAAGGCAAAGGAAATTTCAGCTTCCCTACAATGAACCAGCAGGACTGAGCCCAACAGCTGCTGAAACAGCATCTTGCAGGATCTCAGTGGCTGTGTCTACGCTTCCTGAAGACCAAGCCTGGAAAGTTGACTGCAGGCACAGTTAGAGCAGGCCTTTCATGCTACACCAAGTCCTGCATGCCTAATCGCCTCCAGCATATTAGTGCATCCCCAGGGGTGTTCATGCTATCAGCCAGGAGGCTGTCTGGGAGGAAGGTGTGCAGATGGAGGACAGGTGGAGCTTTCACTGGCAGTTCACCTTCCTTCCGTGGCCTTGTGATCTAAAAATACCTTCAAGCTGTAAGTTGTTTTTCTCTGTACCTGGTATGTGATGCATGTTTCTGGGGTCATGATGATTTCATTTCCCTTCCTATCCCTCTCTGCCCCTTTGAGGAAATTCTTCTTTGAGGCAGTGATATATTTATCATTGAGGTGATATGTCAGATTGATTCTCTCCTCTGTGATCAGAAAGATACGTTCTGCTACATCTTCATCAGGAGGCTTTTCTGGGTTTCTGTGGAAACACTCCTTGATTTGCTAATGAGGCGTGGAAAAGAAGATGGCAGCCAGTTAGACAACACAGAAAAACTGCAAGATTTGTGGATAGCTGGGTAAAAACCCAAGGTAAAAGTTGGGCCTTTCTGTCTGGTCTGTGCTGGCATTTCTCAAGGGCTTGGCCCATGGCTATACTGTTCTTTTCTGTGACTGGGAAAAAGCACAATCAAAGCTGCTTAAAGCAATATGTAATATGAAGCTGCAGGAAGCATTGTATTTTGGAACACAACAAAGTTTCCCAGCTTCCCCAACACAGGGAAAAAAGCAAGAGCACTTTGGGTAATGGTCCAAAAGCATGCCACTGCATGGCTCTGTCTTAGCAGGTGAAGTGTCTGAGCCACATTGCCATGTGTCAGGTGTGGGTGTCCTGCTGTTCTCCAAATCAGATCTGACTAGAGGGAGAAGTAGATTAGCTGCTTGTAGCAACTGACTGCCTACAGTCAGAGTGATGGTGATCACCGGCATTTCACCCGGATCCCAAAATGTTACTAGTTTGAGGTCAGAATATGAAATCATGTGACTAGTTTTGAGTCTTGTGAACATTTCAATACAAAATCATAGCCAGGCTTTTTTTCCTCTGACTCATTTTCCAAGTCTCAGTTTCCTAGTTTCATTCTAGCTGCTTGATGCAGTTTGTGATGACAGGTCACACTGTGACTCTCTGTGTCAGGCAAGCAACTGCAAGACACAGCAACAAGGTTCAAGACACACAACACAGTTCAAGACACTTGAACAAGGCCTGGACATGTCATCTGATGTTTTGTCTTGGCTGTGCCCAGTGAAAATGAACCTAAAGTCTTAAACAGTACGTTTTGCAAAGTATAAATATCACAGTGACAATTATTTTTCTGTTCCTGTCTTGGCCGTACCACTATAGGCCGGGAGTTAATGTCAATTCTGGTGCCAGCCACATGTATTTTCTTCACTCTTTTGCCAAACTCCACGTGCCGGAAGTACAGGAAGTCATCCCGTCCAGTGAAGTATTCAGTCATCTCATTGGCATTTTCAATGCGTTTCTGGAGGCCATCAACTCGCGCCTCATTGTAAAACTCCATCGTATGTTCAGTCTCTGGCTCCATTGATGTATAGATGTGCGCTAAGGACATAGGAGAGATTGCATACATTTTCAGAGTCAATGATAATAATACTGGTGACCACAGGTTTGTCAAGAGGAAGTCTCATTTTCTTGACAAGCCAATAAATCACAAGGCTGATTATCTAGTGCATATAAGTGTCTGAGAAGGGAATGCTGCTCTGTGACAATATGTTATGGCCTGAGGATGGCAGAAGAGCTTTGAACGAAGCCTGCGCTCTGTTCTTTCAAAACCATGGACCAGCACAGCCTCTTGGTTTGAAATCCTGCTTTAGCAATAGATGTGATAGAAGGCTTTCTCTCTCCCAGCTGCACAACACTGAGAGACAGAACATAAAACTGAGGAGAAACTCTACTTTTGTCACCTCTACTGGTAAAAGTAAATTATATCACTATAGAGATTTTCTCTCTTACTGTGGAAAATAAGTCTTTTTCCTCTGTTATGCTGGAGGGGTAGGGCTCCCCAGGACTGGGAGAGCACCAACCCAACTCTCTCCTCTCCATTGGAGACCTCATTGTTATTAATCTAGGCAATTCATCCCAGAAGTTTGCAGTATTCCCCTCTGGGCTTTTGCCAGTGCTAGGAGGGATTCACATGAAGTCCCATCAGCTGCAGTTGCCTTAGCTGTCCAGATGAGCTGGAATACCTTTAAGACCTAGGAGGTGTCCTGGGTGGAAGTGTTCCGTGGTCAGCTGTGTTTGTCTGTTCACTTCTCTCATGTCCAACATGTCTTCCCGGTTTTTGAACCACTCCTTCACCTCCACTACTTTGGTATCTGGAAGGAGACGAACCATTTCACAGCCTTACATCAGCCTGTTGGAGATGGTAGGATTCATCTGATGCAATGCCAGTGTGTGGACAAGCACCCTATGCTGATACAGCCGGGGGAGACAGAGTCAATGTAGTCTCTGGAATTGTCCCTGTGCACAGAGACATTTTGTAGATGAATCCTAGGCTATATTTGATTAGATGAATTATATCTTAAAAGGCCTGTTCCTCTCCATCATCAAGAACTAGAGTGATTACCTCAGAGGGGAAAGGCAGCACTGCAGATATCTAAGGTTAGATGAGATAAATTCCATCCCGGATGTTTCATGATAGTATCAGGAGAGAAGGGAAATGAGATAGGGGCCTTGCTCTATCCAAGAGGGCTGGAGACAGGAGTTTCTATGTCCAGTTAGGAATCTGCATGGTTTCCTGGACCAGCTGTGTAAGAATAATGCTTTGGAGTACAGGAATATCCTTATTTACCCACACTACATAACTGCCTACATAACATAACCCATACTACATAACATAACCCATGAGAAGTCATGGGTCCTGTCAACACTGGTGGGAATAGCGATGCTACAGTTGTTGGGTCAGTTCAAACCAACCTTCTATTTCTCTGAAGAGTGAAAATCCAAGCAGTTGACCTGTGATTCTGAACAGCATCACTATTTGGCCATGAAGCAGATTCAGACTCTAGTAGGAAGCCCTACAAGTGCTGGAAAGCTTTGGGGACTTGATGGACAGTGAATGTGAAGATGTGTTTGGAGCTGTGGTAGATGAGCCCCTCACAAATGTGAAAGGAGGAGAGAAAGCACAAAAGAAATCCTGGCAGAAAGGGTTGCTCTGGTACCACATCCCCTCCTGTGCCTTCCCGTCCGCACACCCCATGCTGTGTTTGCTCACTGTGTTCAGCGTGTTCACTCATCTCTCTTACAGTGTGAGTCTGCATAGACAGCGAGGCGTTGGACCAGCCCATTTCTGTTCAGGTACGGTCTCCATTTCTCCAGTTTTGCTTTCTTGTACAGGATCACCTTCCTCCCCTGGGGACTGCGGGTCTCAAATTCTGCAGTGGGCAAGGACGGTGTCAGAAAGACTGATTCCCTTGTGCTCAGCCCCAGGAAAAGGATTTCAAGTGGGAGAAAGCCATGATCTAAGGGGAACCATGCATCTCTCAGTTGCATTCAGCTGTCTGTGAAGCTGTTCAGACCCTGCCTGTTGTACTTTAACATTAAAATAGTGACTAATCACTCTTTTCTCTCCTACAGCAGACATTAGGTAATGCATCAGTGGCAGTCCCCTGTGCATAATGCTATCAGAAAGCCTATCCCAGGTAAAATCACTCAGCTAGCAGGGAAACAGCCCCCTGGAATGTCTGAACAGTGTGTGTGGGTCTGGGGGAATTTCTCACCATGGATGAGACAGTGCAATGAGTGAAGGCATTCAAACCAATAGCTGTTGCATGCCTTGATATACTGCATTCACTGCTGTGGCTTGTCAGTCCTGAAGAGAGAACTCTTGAGTGAGATAAACAAAATGTCCTCTTTCCACTAAAAGTTTACCCGGGGTTAAGCAAAAGGCAAAGGAAAAATAAGTACCTCTGGGAGAAATCTGAATTGGGGCTACCCAGGATGGTGGCATGTCAAACCTCCTGTCTTCCTCCTCTTTTTCCTGTTGAAACAGAAGCAGAGATTTCCATTATTTGGCAGCTTCTCTTACTGTGCATTTTGGTTGTAAGGAATGCTGTGCTGCAATTAGACCCCAGCTCATGCAAGGCTGAGCTGGTCCTGAGCAACACAGTGGCACAGTTATGTAAGAGTTACATCAGCCATACATGCAGCCTGAGGACAGAGGCAAGCAGCACACTACACTTTTTACATGAAAGGGGAGCTTTATTGAATCCCCATACTGTCACTAGCGCGTCCTGACCCCAGCATAAAGAAATGGCCTTCTCATGGTTGACAGTCATGCAGGACAGGGGATGAATGTGACAATCATCATTCAAACTAATGACCACTTTATTTTATATAGCCAATGGAAGGTGCTTTCCTCCCTGGTGATGGGCATGGGCTTAGAAGATTAGATAACAGAAGAGAATGTGCTGTTATCAGTGTTTCCCTGTCATGCTGTGCTGCTGTAATGCCTGTGTTATCACGTTGTGTTCTCCCACCAGGAGAACACAGCATTTTTTTTTTTTTTTTTTAGCACACAGCATTTTTGGTGTATCAGAATATATATATTATTTCTACATTCTGCTGGCAACTCCACCCAGCAGCCAGGAGAGCAGGGTGCTGACCAGCAGAGAGAGAGAGAGCCCAGGAAAATTTCACTTTGGATTTTCTAATTTGAAAATTATTTCATCCCAACGTTCAGCACACTGGAATCTGGGTGCTAACCCCACATAGGCTTTTCTGAGCCACCAGAACTCAGCAGACTACAGAGATCCCCAGCCACTTAGGAGACCAGAAGTTCCACTGTGCTGCATGCTGTGACTGTGTCGCAGAGAGTGAATAGCACTTGGGGGATCTACTACAAAAACCATCAGAACTATTCAAGCTTGAGAAAAACGTATGTGCCAACCAAAATGTAGCTAGAGCAATTCTGATCCAACCTGGAGAGGGCAGCAGTTGCACAGGCACATACAGGCCCACAAACACACACCAGTTCCCTACAGCATCCCCACTGCAAGAGATCTATCATCTGGGTCACTCACCACACTGTCCATAATCCTGTCAAATAACTCTTCATCCTCCTCAACATCTGGGAGCAGCAGATGAGGCTTGTCGGTTTCCAAAAGCATGAATTCCCAGCGGACAGGGTCACCCAAGTCAAAGATGAGATCCTAGGCCATACAGAAGAAAGCCTCTTAGCTACAGAGCTGTCTCCTGCTCTGGAGGCTAAGGCCAAGAGCCTGACCCTAATCTGAATGCTGCTCCTCTACATCAGCAGTGCTCTGGATCTGGCTGGGTGTCAGAAAGTTTAAGGACTCCAGACAGACCTCACCCTGGATCTCAGTGAGGTGGTCTTGTCAGACCCTTGGCTGGCTAGTAGGACCCCAAAGGCTGCCCCTGTGCCAGGAAGGCTGCAGGAACCTTTCCTCAAAGTGCCTCTGCTACAGCTGACAGGAAGATGCTAGCAGCTCTTCTGTTCTGGGTCATGGATGGCACTGAGGTCATTCACTTGGGCCTAAAGGTTGCTCTAACTCAGACGCTGGCCTCCCAGACTTTATATCTGCTGCAGAATAGCTGAGGTATGGGAAGAGCCTCATGAAGATACCCCTGCCCTGAGCCAAACCTGACTGACTCAGAACATCCTCCACACTAAAAGCTGGGGAGGGAACGGGCATCTGGCCAGGCCTGACAACTGGTATGCTAGTACTGTTGTGAGGTTGGGTACCCCGCAGCCATAAGGTACATCCACAAGCCATTGGGTACATCCACAACCATAAGCCAGCTCTGCAGCAGTACAGGCCTTTGGGTTTAATAGGAGTGATCCTTATTTGCTAGCTCAGGTTCTGGGATGTGATGGAGTAGCTGCAGATACAGGACCTAGAGCCTATGTAACCAGAGCGATGTGACCAGAGCCAAGGCAGGGGGATGCAAAGTGGAAGCCTAGATTGCTGTGGATCTCAACTCTCCCAGGGCTCAGGTCAGCCCAACTGTCCATCAGCACAGGGATGTACAAGGGATGGTTACCTTGCAGCCGTTCCAGCAGTCCTGCATGTTCACCCAGTAGTTCCTGTGGTTCCAGACACTCTCGATACCAAGGAATTGCTCATCCGTGGTGCTGTGGCTGTTTCCTGTGAAGGGGTTGATGAAGAAGGTCTCTGGAACCTCCCTCTTCCCCGACAGAACCAAGACCCACGCATGCACCCGTAAGCCATACAAAGGGTCACGCTTGGGCTTCTCCATTTCCTGTAGAGCAGAGGACAGAGCAGTAATTATTGTCATTTTAATCCAACCCCCAAACAATCATATTCTCTCCTTCTCTGACGACTGCTAAAGATCTCCGGGCCCTTAACACTCTTCAAAACAGTGATGCAGTACATACCCAGTATATATTTGTATGCCACCTCACCCTGCGCTCCCATAGACCAAATGCTGATGGCTAAGGTCACGGGTGTTTCATACTTCAGGGATGGAGGGTGGTGAGCACCTTTCTTGGGTCAGCCACTACCTGTGTCTCAGCTGTTGCTCCTGGACTTTCAGAGTAGGATGAACCTTGCTGACTCATCATGGCTTTCTCCTCCTCTTCCCTTTCCTTTTTCTCTCTGGCAGCTTCAGTTTCTGCCTCCTTCTTGGCCTCCTGCTGTTGGGCGGGGGGGTTGGGGGGGGGCTTAACTCTATACTTGCTGGACTTCTTCTCTCCCTCTTCTGGAACCTGCCTCCGCAAAAGCAGGGTATTGCTGTGAAACCCAGCAGGGATCAAGGGAAGGGAGACAACATATGGCTTACAGGTGCCTTGTGGTTCAAGCATGGATGGGCCTAGTATTGCTGTGAAACCCAGCAGGGATCAAGGGAAGGGAGACAACATATGGCTTACAGGTACCTTGTGGTTCAAGCATGGATGGGCCTAGTAAACCAACAGATATCAGCAGGGATCAAGGGAAGAGAGACAACATATGGCTTACAGGTACCTTGTGGTTCAAGCATGGATGGGCCTAGTAAACCAACAGATATCCCAGAAAGCCTAATAAGCACTCACAGAAGAGCTTCATTCCATCTTGCAGCAAGGAAACATGGGATGCATCATGCTGCCAAGCTCTTGTCTTCCTGAGCCTGTTGTAGGCACTACATGGCCAAAACACAGACAAGCTATGGCCTCTCAAAATGAGCAACATGCTTGGAAAGCACATGGGATGATGGAGTTTGGGGCCCTGCAGCTTGCCCTTAGGCTTATCCTTACTTCAGCACAGTTATACCAGGGATGGCAGCTTCCCGGTCTGCAGCATGGTTCATCTTTCTTACTAGTGTTCTGGCTAACCAGAACCATCAAGCTGGGCTCCTCCCTGCCTTCTCGCTGCTGGGATCCTCACCTCCTGTGGCTTCCTGAGCAGTGGGCACACTTCCAGAGTCTCGTCCATGGTGCATATCTTGTGGGTGGCGTACCCATTCACACAGTAAGCGTCATACCCAGCTCCGATCAGCATGGAGCACAGCAGCACACTGAAGTCAAAGCAGTTCCCTCGATGGTACTTCAGGATGGTGGTTGGGGAATAGAGTGAACTGGGCTTGAAAGAGAGGGACATATGTTCTCAGTGCTTATATTGTGAAGGTGAAACATGCCACGGGCAAAGAGCAGGAGAAAGAGGAGGCATTGTCCTTTTCTCTGCACCTTTAACTCTGCATGTTATGTAAAATTCCCATATAAACCTATGGGAGTGACCACTTCCACAGACCCCGAATGTCCCTTCCAAAACAATCTAGGGAAATTCCCATCTCACCCCCAGTCTGGAGATGAACTGAACCATAGGGAGGGATGGGCAGGACAGACGAGGCAGACTGCTGAGACTCTAATGCCAACCACAACTCCAGGGTGGAGCTTACCTCCATCTCTAGCTAGTCAGCCTGCAGAGTTTCAAAGTAAAAGACCCATAAGCCAAATCGTAGTTTTAAAGGAGAGAACACATTCCCTTCTGGCTCTTATTGGTGACCAGGTAAAGCACAGAATCAATACGCACATAGCACACATATAGAGATTCTACATAAAGAGTCTGCTCCCAGGTCTCAAACTACACTTTAGGTGATCAGGACAGTCTCTGTCTGCTAAACAGAAACATGTTTTCTGTGGTCCCAAAGTGAACTCTGGGATTCTTGGAATACACTTGGCCCACATGGAGTTAGTGTGTAGATTGTCTGGGGCACTCTGCAAGGCATCAGCAGTCCTTGCTAGCAAAGAGAGTGGCCCCTTTGCTTTAGCTGATTGATTCACACCAGCCAAAAACTTGCCTCTGTTCTGGCATCATCCCTTCTTCCTTCTCTGGAAATCTCCCTTGAGCCACCTCAAAATATCGCAGGTATTGAGACAGAAATGTTGAAAGCCCCTAAAAACTGCTAACTGCTAACTGAGGTCTAGCATCTCCTAGCTTTCATATGCTCCTTCTTTCCAAGGTCTCTTGGTCTTGGAGGGAAAGCTTGACTGCCATTGCAACCCACAGCAGACCTGTTGGCCATCTGGGGTGACAGAAAGCAGGGTCAGGCCCAATAGGAATGGTGCATGTGCATGTAGTGGGAATATGGTTCCAAAAAGAGCGCACAGGGCCTATGAGAGTCAGGGTTTGGCCTAAGTATGGAGGGGATGTTGGAGGGGTCAAAGCCCAGTGTAAGCCGTGGCCCTGGAGTGTCTACATGGTGTCTGGCTACTGTTGCCTTGGCCATGGGGCTGTTTCTGATGGAACTGCAGCCCTTTCTTACTGGTGCGATAGGGGACTTGAGGGGCTCCATGGTGAGGTAATCAGAGACAAAGCTGGCACAGCCTTCCCAGTGGTACAGCTCTGTATAAGGCAGGAGGGTTGGTCTCACCGTTGTGCTCACAAACTTCTGTAGGGCAACAAGAAGACTTTGGTTAGCTAGCAGATTCCTGTCCCCTCTCCAAAGCTATCCTTAGACCACCCCTGGATGATGCAGCTCACATTCAGGACGTCCCTAGAGCATATCAACAGCATCGTTAGCCCTCCACACGCATTCTGAGATGGAAAACGCTTGGCTTTGAGAGGCCATCTGCTAAAGGACATTTCTGTTTGTCTGCGGCTAAATATTCAAACTCATCTCAGTCATATTACAGATGCGAGAGATTTCTGCTCTTCGTTTTCAAGTAAGACAAACAGCTACTGCTCTTTCCAGCTTCTACACCCTCTGGCATTTTTTGCTTTGCATGACATTGATACAAATGTTGGGGGAAGTTGATCCAAAGTAGCATGCTTGGGGGAGTATCAGATCCAGAACTAGACAGCAGCTGTGCAGCTTGGGCCCAGTTCTATTACAAATTCAAACCACAAACCTCCACGTGTAAATCTATCCTGAATAAATTCTGGGAACCTTGGAATACGACCTAAATCTGGATCCAAATTCCATAGCTCTGAGCCTGAGTCTGGGTAGAAACTCATATATTTCACATGTTTCTTTTACTTTCCTTCTTTATGTTTCTGTTGTCTTTCCTGTTTCCCACATGTCGTGTTGCAGGGCTGTTAGCTGCATGAGGCCTGCGTGTACACCGCTGCTGTGTCAGTGATCAGATGGGTTGGTGGATATGGACAGCTAGGGTATTACTGGGGTGCTGTGTGTCTCACTCACGTGTGTGCAGTGAGTGGGTTTCCATTCCCTTTGGCCAGGAGGGAGGGCAGATAGGGCTGCTGTCCTTACCCACTGCTCGGTACTAATGGAAGCTGATTGCCCCATGTGCTGTGGCCCAGCCTTCCACCATCCCGTACCTCCACACCACACTCATTGACTGGGTGAAGGAGAAGCGGCTCGCGGTCGGGGCAGAGGTGAGCGTACTGCTGAAGGAAGTTGTCGGCAATGCGTAGCAGCTTCTTTTCCTTTGAGGAATTTGTCTTGTAGGAAGATGGTAACTCGGACGTGTCAATGGAACTCCAGTCAAAATCGCTTCAAGGGCAGGAGGAGACAGAGAGAGACACAGGTAACAAGCAGAGAACGATTCAGGCAGAATGAGCCGCTGTGTAAATGCAGCCGAGACTTCCTGTTTCCCAGGGAAAAGTGGGGAATCATAGGCAAAGAAGCAGAATTTGAAGTAGGAAGGCATCAATTTTGACATAGCCAAGCTTCCCTGGAGTGATGGTGAACTGATATAGACCTAGAGGCTCGGGGAGATTGGTATATAATGTCTTGATAGAGCAGTGAACAGTTGAAAAAAAACTGTGTTATCTTCTTACTCACTCATGTGCCCACTTCTGGACAAACACATTTGGGATACCAGGCACACAGAAACATGCACATCCCTGCACATGGGGACCACACATGCCATTCACACATGTGCAGGCCCCCAGAAATGTTCCCCTCCCCACAGACTGCAAAGGGACATCCCTTGCTCATCACAATAAGGGAAAAACACATGCAACTTACGGTACATCATTTGGTGTGCAGGCTTGGTCTACAGACAACTTCCTCTCCACATCATGCTGTTTATCACTGATTTCCAAAGCTTTCAGCTCTTCTTCCTCTCTCTGCTCCTCTTCCTCATTCTCTTTCAGGACCTCCATCCTGCCTCCTCCTCGGCACTAGAGAAGAGTACAGAGCAGGGTGAGTTTGGGAGTGGGATCAGATATACAGTAATGCAGAAACACTCCCACAGTCTGGGCTGAATGATGTAGTGTGTGAGCATGGCTGAGGCATCCAGAAGCGCAGTTCCTATTTCTGCGACACAAAAGGACGAATGCTGAATTTGAATTTGGACTTGGCCCAGTGAATACATGGCTGAGAGGTGTTGCTTTGGAAATCAGGTGGCAGCATCAGGCTCAGGACCCTTTCACCCAGGCCTTGCCTCCAGCTGGCACCATTGCCAGCTGCTTCAGAGAAGTCGTGCCACCAGGGGCTCTGATGCCTTCCAAAACGCTTGACCTCTTTTACCTTTACTATGATAATTCTGCATGTTCCCAGGCCACCCTGGCCAAGGGAGGAGGAGGGCTATTCACCCCTGGCCTCCTGTCCAGGAGAAAACGGAGAGCCTTGCTCGGTGGGGCATCACACATCCCCAGGTTGCAGTCTCAGACCTCACTGTATCCCCCACTCCAGGGAGGTGCTGCCGGGTAGCAAGGGGCTCTGAAAATCAGCCAAGCACCTGGGCCCGGCTGGTCCTGCTCGCTGCCGGGCTGTGCTAGGCCGGGCTGGCAGCCCAGCGCTCTGCGGGGGCCTTAAGGGACGAGGAGTTTTTGCAGCAAAATAAACAGAGAAGAGCCACAGCCCAAGGACAGCACTATATATTGCAGGGAGTTTGAGGGTTGAGGAGGGGGCTGGGGTTGTTTTTTCCCCTCCCTTCTTGCGGTCAAACTGACCCCAGCGCGGAGGAGATAGCGCCTGAAAATGGAGACGCAGACCTTGTCTTTATCAGGCCGTGCTCGGGTGGCAAGTATGCCTGGCATGCAGGGAGGGGGCGGTGGGACGGCAGCCCCGCGGGGCCCGCAAGGACGGAGGGGTTGACCGGGGGGACCCGAGCGTCGCG